GCCCCTCGGGATCCTTCCGCTGGGGCGCTGACGGCAGGGCAGGGCGGACGGAGCCCTCTGATTGGCTGCTCGGCTGAATGGTTGCCGAGAGACGAGTAAATCTTCGGCGGCGGGAAGGGGCGGGGTGGGAAGGGAGGTAGCACCGCGCAGGCGCAATAGAGAGGGGCAGCGTTAACCGGGCTTGAACTTGGTGGTTACCGGGACACTTCTCTTTCTGTGGTCCTCTTAATTCTTTACTGCTGCTCTGCCTTTCGTGTGTACCTTCACCTTCCCGCCATGGCTTTTCCTGCGCCTTCGCAGACCTGGGAATTTTCGCACAGCTGCTCCTTGGCTGCAAAAGTAAGGAACGAGCCAGACGCTCAGCCTACCTCCGGCGTGTCTGTGAAGTTCGGGGGAAAAAAAAACTGCAGAGTTTCTGGGCGCCGGGGATCTTCATGATTCCCCAAGCAAATTGGCTGGAGGTGAAAAAGTGGTCTTGGGGAAGGCGCGCAGTTGGTGGTTCTTTGGCATCAGGGAGCCACTCACCTGTGTGCAGTTAATGGGGCTTACGAGCCTCAGGGAACCCATCACCAATCCTGGCCACCACCATAGCTTTTGCCCTGCTCAGAATGCCACCGGGCTTAGTCGTGTATGTTATATAACATGCAGGCGGGGCCTGGACACCGTCCATTCACTCCGTAGCAAGGGGTTGACCGCCCAGATTCCGAATTCAGACTAACTTGAGTGGAGATCTTCATTCACCATTTCAACTATCTGTGAGATCTTGGGCAAGTCATTAACTCTTTATATACTGCCCTTTCCTATCTGTAGAATGGAACCAAGAATGAGACAGCTTTGTAGGGTTATATAACTATTAAGTAAAAAAAAAAATACTTGGAAAGGTATTAGTTGGTTAAGTACTTGATATAAAGTGTATATAAGGGCTATTTATGCCCAATAGTAGCCAATGTTGTTTATTACAACTTTTATTTATCTTCTACTAGTGATGTGAGATGGCTGGTTGCTCCAGTATTGGTCCTGTCCAATTTTTAATCTAAAAAGGGGATGCATATTTCATTGTGATCTAAATTTTTTCATTTCCCTGATTATTGAGCAACTTTTTAGATGCTTCTTGGCCATTTTGATATGCTTTTAGTGAAGTGTCTGTTCAAAGCTTTTGTGCATTTGTGGAGAGTTGTCTGTCTTAATGACCTCATACCCTGGATGGTTCTTTGTCTAATATATCTATTACAAATACCTTCTCGAATCTGTGACCTCCTTTTTATTTTTTAATATTGTCTTTTGATGAACGGAAATCCTTAATTTTAAGTAAGTCCAATTTATTGCTTATCTTTTATAACTTGCATTTTGAGTCCTGTTTAAGAATTCCCTGCCTATCCTAAGGTCATAAAGATAATCTGTTTTCTCGTAAAAACTTGTTTTAACTTTTGTTGCCTGTAAAGCTTTGTGCAAGTAACAACCATCCTTTCAAAAACTTCCAATCACAAGAAAAATTAATGAAAATAATTACATTGTCTTTTAGACTGCTTCTACTTTTTCATTGCCTCCTGGATGCCATCTGCACAGGTAGCCTCAAGGAAGGGCAGAAATTCTTAATCTAAAATTTGATCTTGCATGTTTTAGTTCCACTTTGGCTTAGATGAAATTTTGTTCAACTCCCTGAAAAAAAAAATTAGATAACTCTGGTGAGGAAGAAGGGAGAACCAAAAAGCAGCAAAGAAATTTCTTATATCCATACATGTGTATATTTTTCCCTTGCTTCTTTTTTATTCCTGGGGTATTACTTGGCTTTTTAATAATTTTTTCACCTTTTTTAAAAAAAATATACTGACTTCTCTCTACCTTATAAAACTATGGCATCCTGCAGCTAGAAGAAATCTAGGAAGTTGCCAGGTCCTGCTCATTGGGCATGGAACCAGATATTAAAACTATACTTCCAAGATTGTTGGTGCTTCCTTGCCAGATTTCAATCCTTTGCTATAGCTAATCCAATCAAAATGGTTTAAAGACTTTTGTTGTTGTATTCTTAGTAATTTATTGATTGATGCTTGGGAAAGCTGAAGGAGAGGAACCAGAGGATCAAAATTCATTGATCAAAATTGATCAATTGATCATTGATCAAAATTCATTAAAATGCAAGTTTGCCTTCTTTGTAGCAATGACTCTGAAAAATATTCATGTCTCAATATTTTATTTGAAATCTTATAGTGAAGCAAAGAATTTCTGCTGTTCTTTTGTCAGGCAAGAAACACCTTTTGTGAAGTGCTTAGTTTTCCCCTAATTCATCAGTTTCTCAAGTCTTGAATGGTGGATCACCATTATAAACATTTATTCAAATGCCCTCTGCTAAACATAGTTTTTATATCGATTTCAAGTACAGTTTTTATCTGCATATACACAGAGTAGAAGTACACAGCTCATAAAAGCACAGCTCAGTGAATTTTCACAAACTGAACAAACCTGTGTTACTGGCATACAGATCAAGAAACAAAGTAACATCAAAGCCTTTGTGGACCTATTTTAAAACCTCCACAGTGGCTTTTCTACATCCTAGTGAGTCTCTGGGGGAGTCAAAATATGACTTGGATTTCCAGTGACCACCTAGAACTCACCAATAAATCCGTTTCCTCTCTGGCTTCTTCAGGCCAATATTTTTCTTGGGTGTTAGGGGAAAAAATTAAAAAAATAAATAAACTAGTTTTGGAGTAAGAAGGTGTTAAGTTTTATTTGGAGCAAAGTCCATGATTAATAGAACCTGGGACTGGTCAGATTGGATAGAATGGGGGTGGGGAATGGGCTGCATCTTGTGCTTGGCTGGAGTGGCTGGCTCAAGCCTAGTGTGTCAGGGAGACACTATACAGGGCATAGTCATGGATGGGAACCAGAAAGAGGGAAGATGGTAGCACTTCCAGAGAAGAGAGGATGCCAAAGATAAGCAGTGCTGACTTATCCCTCCCACCTGGATTTCTGGATTCCTTTCCCTGGTGTTGTATCCCTGGAGAAAGGATATAGGATTGAATCCAACAGCTTGTATCTTTGTCCCAGCCAAAATGTAATCTTGGACAAATGGCTTAACCTCTGTGAATCTCAGCTTTCAAAAATGGAGATGGTAATGTCAGCCTACCTGCTTCATGGAGTTATGCGCCAATCAAATGAGGCAGTGAATACACGTAAGAGCAGTGGCCTCATCCACCACATCCTTCTCTCTGCCAGTCTGGTACCCTTTTCTCATGTTATTATCAGGACAGCTTGGCAAACAAGTCCAGTGAGAGCAGAGGAGGGTCAATGCCCAATCCCTTGCTGTGGCTGCCTTCACTTCTAGGGCTCCAGATGTTTTATCTGAGGATTAAAGTTTTTCAAATCTCCCTTCTGGGAAAAGGGAATCCACCAGTGTACATAGTTAATTGATCATTTCACTTGCTGGGACCAAGCCCTGGATCTACTCAAAAGCTGCCACATATTTAGGTCCAGGATGTGTTTCTCACCAACCCATCCCAGTGCCTGAAACTCAACACTGGAGTCTGTTCCTGTTGGGGACAGACCCCTGCTGTTCCCATGTAGCTTGTCAGAAGAAGGGTGGAGGCCCCATGGCCAGGAATGGCTAACACCTTACAGGTGTAGTTCTCAGTTTATACATTGGGGCTTCCAATCCAGCCTGGATTTTTTGGTTGCAAACAATCAAAAACGACTCTTGCTGATTTACACAAAATAGAATTTATTTAAAAGGCATTGGGGAGCCCACAGAGTTAGCAGGATTGCTGGACCACATGGCCAGTTGATCCTGCTATGAGGAACATGGCCTAAAAATCATATTGTATACTGGTACAGGAAAATACCTTGATGTCACCAAAGACATTGGCCAGCACGAGTTGCAGCTGCTGCCTCTGGAGACTGAATGCAACTGTCCCCATCACCATTGCCACCACCACTCTATATTCAGTCTGTTTGTCTCCGTGTTTCTGATTCAAAATTTGGGGTGGTGGGGTACATCTTATCAGCAGGGCCCAGATGGAGCACCCAAGCCCCGGCAGCAAAGAAGCCTGGGAAAGATCATCGGCTCACTTCCATGTTCACCTTGGAAATTGGGCTCTGCCTCTTAAGACAGAGGATTCTCCAAACAGAGGAAGGCGGTTCCAAGGCCAGATAGCCAGAACACACGCCATTTCCCCTCCAGTCTCATACTTCGATCTCTTGTGAACACTGTGTGAGCAAATCAGCATCCTTTAATCCACCTAGCCCTGGGTCCCAGACACAGGCAAGTTTCTGAAGCTGCAAGTCCGAGGGCCAGGAAAAATGGATGGAGGCCCTCCAGCTGGCCCCACCCTGCCATACGCTCTGCTCTTAGCCAGGCAACATTTTTCCTCTTCAAAATTCTTAGAATAGGCACTTGGTATTTGTCTGATGGAAAAAAAAAAAAAAAAAAAAAAAGGAAAGCAAAGAAATTGTTGAAAGGAAGGAAAGGAGAAAAATTAAAAAAGGTGTCTTGGATAACCACCCTTCCCTCAAGTCCCTTGCTGTGTGTAGTATCGGTCACTTTATTGCTTTGGGCCTCGGTTTCCCCATCGGTTAAAAAAAAAAAAAAGAAAAAAACGGGCCTGGCCTGGCTCATTTCCAGTGCTTCCAGCTCCAACACCGAGTGTCAAGGAACTAAAGGGTGCAAGGCTGTGCCGCCCAGGGCACATCATGGGGTTGGCTGCACATAATGACAGTGTCCCAGAGCTGGCGCTTGTGTAACAGGCAGATTTACCGAGAGGGGACGACTGTTTGCTCAGCAGCCGAGAAGACTATAATTAGACTGTCACAACATCAGCAAAAGTACAGGATCGATGTAATCAGAGAAGAAATGGAAAAGAACACGGCATCAGTCAGAGCCTCCAGTGGG